AAAGATGACATCACACAGCAGAGAAACAAACCCATGCACTAACATGACACCACACATTAATGAACAGAAGAGCAAAGTATACCCTTCCTAGCCCATAAGAAAAGTAATAAAAACAAAAATAAAATGAGGAATAACGAGTCATTTTATAATAAGTTAGGAAGATTGTAGTTATGGTTTTATTCTAAGAACTAATGTAATTTATCAACTTCATTTTGAGAATTATGCATAGGCGACAAACTGGCTCAATAAATGGGCTTCTTTATCTTAATAAAGTTAAAAATAAATAAAAGTGATATTAATTACTGCTGAAGTCCCCAAACTAATGATATACTTAACAATGACTTTACTGCAAAAGCCAATTCGTGAACAGTATGAAAGCCTTTTGGTATTCGTATGGACTAGTTTCAGATAAATAGGAATGGGCAAGCAGGGAAACATTAACTACACAGCTAAATTAAAATGAAATTCATTCTTACAGTATTCCCTAAAAATGTTATTCCTATAGCACTTCAGGAAAATGGAAGATGTGTGACATTCTAGTAGTTAGTACACGATATGTTCAGAACAGAGATAGTTATACTTTCTTATTGATATAAATATGCGTCTAAACTTGGCTTTGTTTTCATTACCAGATGTACTCTGATGATTTTTCTCACCTTTATGACTTTAAAAATAGCTCCTAAAAATTTTGCAATTGCAGTTTAAGAGGTTTTCTGTCTTAAACCACAAACAGTACTGCAAGAATGCATCCATGAAAATACATCTTATGCACAATATACATAATAACACTGCTTTCACACAATGGTAAAGGAGAGAACAAAAGGCACATAAAGTACATGCTACCATTCATGAATACAATATTTTCAGAAATATTCTGACAAAGAAAGTGGCAAAAATTATGGTATGTAAACATAATAGGGGCTTAAAAACACCAAAATGAAGTGTCTTCATTCCATTTAGAAGGAGGACTCTTTGGGGAGAAATTAGGATTGTCAATAAATAGCACAATACTGAGCTGGGTTGAAGATGAAGCTACAGTTAATTGTTCTTAATTTAGAAAAAAGTTTATGGATAAATTATAATAGTTTTTAAAAGTTTCAAGAACTAAAATTTTGTAAATTATATTCTGCTCTATATTTACTTGTAATTTACCTCTATAAAATCAAAATTGTTGAGAGAAGAGACTAGAACTTCAATGAACCTACACTCAGTGAAATACAGTGTTTTAGTAGGTACCCAAAAAACATTTTTGAGTAAATATATGAACTGAATGTAAGGCTGGGGTAAAGGATAAGTATAAATCTTAGTGAGAGGCATTGTCTATAACTTCAGTTTGATTTAAACAATAAGGAGAATGTTCAAACGGGTAAATTAAATACCCTGATAATTTACCTAGCTAGCTCATGTAGTATCTTTCCACTAATAAATTTAAGTAATTATTTTAAAATTAGTACTGAACAATCTGTTCTTTATTCTGTATTTATAAATTTGGAGCCTAAAGTCTTACGTGAAATAGAAAAGTCATACTTCTAAAACATTCGATTATTTATTTTGGACACACAGTCAGACAGACCTGCCTTGACCTCTTCACCCTGCTTTTCTCCCCCTTGCTCTTCCACATGCCCAGTTACTTCATTAACTTCTGTATGTGCAAAAGTAAAAGTAAAGAAAAGGATAAAACTCTTAAGTAAAACAAAACAACAAATTTCAAATTATTCATGATATGAGTGATAATAAGGAGACAAATAGATTATTTTTAATGAGTTTCTGACATGTTATGAAAGCACATAAGTATACTGTTAATAAATTATCTTACTGTCTCCTTTTATGATAACTTTGATTTATAAAAGAAATTGTGGCCCATAAGTATTTGTAATATGTAATAACTGTAAGACAGGCAAAATACTTCATCTATAAACTTGATATACTCTTAGAAAAATAATACTATATAACTTTTCTTCTAGAGAAACAAAAAATAATATTATAAACTCGTTTTTATTTTTATAAAATGCCAGTACATCAAAGTTAGGGGTAAATTAAAAATAATAATGCCTTACGGTTGTTTAGTACATTGTACTTTCATTATATTGTTTCTATTTTCTCTGACTCTCAGACAAAAAGAAGATGATTAATACTGTCAAGACCAACATATATAAGGTTTTAAATTAATTAACAGACTAAAATATATCCCAGGTCAAAAGGAATTAAATTAGAACTTGTTCATTTTTCAGCTATTGAACAGGATCAGAAAATAAACATATCATTTCTTTGATTCTAAAACAGTGTCACTAAATTATAAAGTCTGACAACTTTTTAAGAGATAATCCAAACATAATTCAATATAGACCATTAATCCATAGTCAATTTTGGGTTATACCTTTAACTTCAGTTAGAAGTTGAAGACTCCTAAAGGAGATATTATATACTGCCTTTAAAGCTAAAGAAAAGATACAATCATGTATCCGCTGGAGTCTTCATATCAATATTTATGAAAACACTGCTAAAATCATTCATACTTTTAAGCAAAACAAAACAACCAAAACTCCCCAAATCCTTTTATTTCATACTGGAAAGAATTAGAGAGGTTTTTGACTCTCTTCTCTTTTATTTATAAAAATGGAAAAGTCACAATTAGAGACATTATAGGAAAACTGTGGTTTTTATAGATTCTATAGGGCAAAACCAGACAGAAAATAGAATGTTTGTTGACAAGCCCATGAAAAACTTCCCTGACCTTCAATATCAGCTGTTTTTTAAAATATCAGCTTTAATGTCAGTTTTTTTAGTATATTTATTATTACAAAGAATGGAACAACTCATATCTCAATGGACTATTGCTATAGAAGATATTAAAACTGAATTTAGAAAAAATTATGGCATGAATTATGTTTCTGACTTCATATTCCAACAAATGATTCCAAAACTCTATCTTTAAAAATTGTGGGGAGAGGAGACAAAAGATTCTGTATGTATTACAGAACTTTCCTCATGGAAAGTACTTTTAAAATTATACACTCCCATTTTTATGTAAATAATTGACAACTATAGAAGTGCTAATATCTTTTTATCAGGCTGTATAACAGACCATTAGTCACGATAGCACTGAGTTGTTTACAATTATAGTTCACAGTACATAGTAAATAAAAAGGACCACAAAATAGGAGTTGATAAATCATTCAGCTACAACTAACAAGATCACAACTTATTCTAAGTTATGTAAGGCAATAAAAGTACTGCTGCTCAAATGCAATGCACTTAAAAATGTGTTACAAATATGAATTTTAATATAAACATATATAGAATTACAAGATTATTTTAATGGTACTTTTTACACTATTTGAAGTAGCTTTTCAATTTGTAAATAAATATTTCATGCATTCATTCAACAAATCTTTATTGAGGGCCTATAATGTGCCAGGCATTATTCTATGTGCTGGAGATTCATCAGTAAATAAAACAGTTAACAATTCTTCAAAGTTACAAAGTCAATTGCAGAATTCTATAATCAGCAGAGGAATTTTTACTGTCCGGGTAAATGTATGACACTCCATATATCATGACTCAATATTTTCTCTTGAGTCATAATGTAGCACTGACAATCAAACTGTACATATTTAACTTTGTTACACTATAAACAGTCTTGCTACAACATGAAAAATGATGCAGGAAATACAAAGCACAATCACTACCTAATGCAATAACTTTCTTTTCTAGAAAGCCAAATTTAGTAATTGAAAGATCATCATAAATACAAAATGAAATATATGATGATAAATATAACTAGACTGGGTGTACATCCTCAATGACATAAACACAGACTGCAATTGATATCTTTGGTTAAAGTCTTACACAAAACATCAAATTCTATTTAAAAAGCAAATTTTTAAAAAAAGAAAATTTTACCTTGTGATTTAAAAGAAGTTAAATTCTTTGCATTCTTACTTGATTGAATCAAAAAATTTAACTCCCTTGTATATTTTCCAAGTAAGACAAAAGTCAAATACTTTACGGAATCATAAAACAAAGTAATTTTACTGTAATAAAGGTCTATACAGTGGAGGGACATCAATTGCAGTTGGGTTTATTTTTGCTCACATAACCCCTAAAAAGGCTGTCAGCACAAAACAAACCCTCCTTTATGTACAGACCTTCATAAGGTTCTATCTCCTTGACTCCATTGTCTAGGAAAAACAAAATAACAAAACAAAAAAGGGAACCAAAGCACAGGGGTTAAAAACAACAGAAATTTCCAAAGGCACAGAATGTATCATCTATTAAAGAAAAGTTAAATGGTGACTTAAATGTGTTTGTTGGTTTGTTTGTTTTGGTAAAGCACATCCAGTTACCAAATAAAGGGACCATTTTAAAAAATGACATTAAAAATTATTATATTTTATCATCCATGCTTTTAGAGGCCCTTTATCCAAGAATTTACAGATGTCTGGGGAGTACGTTCATCTGTGTGTAAGCAAATAGTGCTTCTTATGCAAAAATTTGAAAGTATTAAAAATATCAGTACAACATGCATCTTTCTTGTATATTCATGATTACCTTTTTCTGGTACTCCAGTTTTGAGAAGGATCACCATTGCTGTGCATCAGCTAACCAGTCCTTTGCAGTGTGTGAAAATTGATTTGGCTAGTTACTAATAAACTTTATGTAACTATCAACAATTACATAAACTTAGTTGTAGCAAAGAAACATCACCCAACTGCTTACTTAAGAGCATTAAGTTTACTTCTTAAAATGCATTTATTAAAGTTTGAAAAATGTGCAAGAGCAATAACGATAGGTTATTTTTGCCTGCAAAGATTATAAAATTTAAATGCAAAATATATAATATTTATAAATATATTTATAAATATAACTACTAGCAAATGCAGCTAAGATATTCCACTGACAAAAGAAGAAAGCTAACACAAAGGTAGTAAAAAAGAATCTTGATTCACCTTAGCTTCCATGGGTATTTCCTATATGACACAAATAGAAATAAAACTTACTTCTCTCCAAAGTTCCCTTTGGTGGAAGTTGTGGGAGTTGACGGCCCCTTCGTCCTGCCACTGGAGTACTTGATGGGCTTGTTTGGACAGACCCAGTACGAGGGTGAGACCTACAAGATACATCATTAATATTCATTTTTCAATAGAATGAGTTAAAACACTTTTAACACATTTGGTTCATATGACAGCTGTATGGTGCAATTTTAAAGAGGTTTAGCTGCTGATTAAAAGGTTAGGAAAGTAGGACGAAATATGGATATTTGAATGATTATCTAAATAGCAAAAGATGTTTATACTTTTATGTAATATGCATACATACACAGATACATGCACACAAAACCCTACAGTAAAATCCATGGAATTATTAATGCAGATCAGTATTCTATCCATATGAAAGCAAGAAGAGAATTCTGCAGCTCACAAAAATGAAAGATAATGCTTACATTTCTTTCTACCAGATTTCAAATCCTTAACACTAACCTCCCTCCCTTGATCCTAAGAGATTATTGCTCAGGCTTATATTAGATATCCCTTTATTAGAAATTATCTCACAAGACTACAAATAAAACCCTGAACAATTCAAAATTCAGCTAAAGAAGATATTGGTTAATACATGATATTAGTATTGATAGAAAGAAACTAAAAATCTAGTTTTATTTATTGTCATTATGATGATTACTCCAAAAGTGATGTCTAATGGACACAAACAATTTCTCATTCTGTAGGAGAACATGATAGTCATGAGGTGCATTATGTGGGGATTTACCCAGGACTCCTGATAAATGAGAAATCACAAAACAAATGAGGTCAGGACAGTTAATAAACAAACTACAATGGTAGTCACACACTATTATATCCGCTGAATATAAATAGTGTGCTTACACTGAAAAGGTTAGTGTCGATTGTTATTAGTGATCAGCCAAGGATGATAGAAGAGACCACTTAGCTGCTGGGAAAGTAAAATGGTGTGCTGGTGGGGCAAAGGGGAAGTTAGTGTGATTGATTTATCTTTCACCTCGATAAGGCAGGTGAAGGAGGGGCAGATCTTCCAGTCATTAATGAAGGCATCGACCTCATGAGGTTTGTATCAGGACGTTCAGTGGATCGGGAGCGGGTGGCTGTCCGCTCTAGGAGAGGCCGTTGTTCTGTTGATCTGGATCTGTGATATGGCTGTCTATCTGCTGCTTCACAATCCCTGAAACGTTAGTCAAAAAGCAGCTGAGTTGATCTTTAGTGCCCTTCTGCTATTTTGTTATGATGCATCAAACTGATTTTGAAAAAGGTAATTGTTTAAAATTATTGAGTATGGAAAAAAATGTTCTCTTCCCCAATGTATTCTGAGTAAATTCTCACTACATAAGAACTTTTAAGGAACCAACATCTGCCTTTAATAGCAATTCCCAGTGAAGACAATAGGAGTTGCTCAGTTATAATCAAAACAAAACTGTTTTCCAAAATGAATTCTCTAAATGGAACATGTGAAATATGTGAAGTATTCTAATGTTTGAAAAGAATTCTTTGACTTTTCCTAACATTTTCAAAAGAGAAAAGAAAACAATAAAAGCACTAATTCTCAAGTCCCTAAGCCTGTTTATTATTATACCAACTAAGATATAAAATGGCTTTCAGCACAATCATCGTGTATTGATACACCTAAACATTCAAATGGCAGAATCAAAATGTTACGAGAAAGCTGTGCAACTTTGCAGTCTGTAGCCATATTTAAACATGGTCCACAAGAAAAATCACTGTATAGAAAAGGAGTTAATCAACCAATCTATGCCATTTATCTCAGTGCAGTTTAGCAATGCCAACCAACACAATTCAGGATGGGTATTAATTGACTGAAATAATAATGGTTCTGAAACAATGTGATTTCACACAATTTGACCACAAATAAATCTAACATCAAAACCTAATCCTTCTTGAAAGAAGCAGACTTAAATGAATAACCTATCAATACTAATTTTTGTATCCCTGGAGTCTAGAATAATGCTTTTACATCTAACATGTAATCAGTAAATGTCTCTTAACACCAGCCCCACTATCTATGGAACAACCCCCAAAACACTAGCTTTGGCTCTAGAACTCCAAAGTAACACATACTCCAAAGTATACTTCAAATGAAACTATTACCCCCGCACGTAGTTGTAACCACAGCAATGGAAATGTTTATATATTATAGACAGTAACGAAAGCAGTAGCCTCCCTCAAGATTAATGTATTAAGGACTTCCACTTTACCTATAAATTCTCTCAATCTTATTTTTGATAATGAAAAATGCAAGCAATTAAAGAAAAATAGAAAAGAAATGACACAATTTCCCAAATGTAAGTAATTATGTGGCATATTGGACCAGTAGGCATTAGATTAGATGACTTTAGGAACTGGATACTGGATTTACTCTATGTTACCTTGTGATTATCTTACACTTTCAATTCATAGGGTAACATATAAGGCAAATAATTTTTTAACTATGTTTAAGTCCATGTACTATAATATGATTGATTTCTTAAGAATTTAGTTTTTTTATAAGTTTATCCAGAATATGTGAAAAGAAGCTGAGATTAAATGTAAATACATATATAATATTCAATTACTAGTCAAAGAGAGAAATGAAAAGGCAACCTGATAGTGTAAGAAATCATAATTCTATTTTTGTTCCTGAAAAACTATTTTAGAGAGAACACTCCTCTTTAGAAATAAATATGCTCAGGACTTCCCTCATGGCACAATGGTTAAGAATCTGCCTGCCAATGTAGGGGATACAGGTTTGATCCCTGGGCCAGGAAGATCCCACATGCCGTGGAGCAAATAGGCCCATGCACCACAACTACTGAGCCTGAGCTCTAGAGCTCACGAGCCACAACTATTGAGCCCGCATGCCACAACTACTGAAGCCCACGTGCCTAGAGTTTGCGCAGTGCAACGAAGAGTAGCCCCTGCTAACTGCAACTAGAGAAAGCCCATGCACAGCAACAAAGACCCAATGCAGCCCAAAATAAATAAATAAATAAATTTATTTAAAAAAAAAAAAAGAGGGCTTCCCTGGTGGCACAGTGGTTGAGAGTCTGCCTGCCGATGCAGGGGACACGGGTTCG